AGGAGAATTAAGTTCTCTTTGTATTTCTACTTTTCAGGAAAGGAACCCCTTAGGCTATAAAAATATTAATGAATAATGAAAGAAGAGAGAAGATGATTTTTTTTTAATATAAAATGTACATTTTCTCAAGACATCGTTTTAAATTGTTTCATCTTGTTTGACAACTCCCTATAGTCTTACTAAATTATTTGTCATTCCCAGTATATTATAGTGTAATTCACAATAGTGTTGATAGTTAATTATTTTTAAAATATTTATTTTGTTAATATAGTAATTATTTTATTTATTCTTATTTCAACATATATGGTCATATTAGGTTCCATAATTTACTTTTGCCTTTTAAAATGTAATTAACTGCCTTTTCACTTAGATTTTTCTATTTTTATTTTCTGTTTAACTTTGATGAAGAATTACTGAATCATTAGGAATTTTGCCAACAATATTATATCAAACGAGGATATCCAGAATATGATTTAAAGTTAGAAAAATATAGATCCCTCTAGAAACCCAGACTTTCTTACCCATTTTCAGTGACGTGTGTTTCTATGTCAGAACAGATGAGAAAAGAGTCAATTACAATGACATTTTTTTTTTTTTTAGGTAAGGAAACCCTTGGTTGACCTTACAGATTGCAAGGACCTTGTCAGCTTACAAACCCTTATTTTTTTTTTTATTTTTTACACCTACAGCACCTAGTCTTCCTAAGTGGTCTCCCATTCAAGTACTAATGAAGCCTGACCTTGCTTAACTTCCGAGATCAGACAGGATCGGGCTTGTTCAGGGTAGCATGGTCGTAGACTACAATTACATTTTTATCAACTCCATCCAAGTCATAAACTAGCAATAGTTATAAGGTTTCTGAGCTCTGAGCAATTTTGTTTTACTCCATAAAACAACAGAGGTAGAGTGTAAACAAAATCAGAATCAGCAGCTTGTTAAGGACTGCAGGACTGATAAAGAAGACAAGGACAATAATCTATACCTCTGGAGCTATGTAGACACACTACATTGAAGGTATATCAAAGTTCCTGGAGAAACCAAGAATAAAAAGCCTTTATTGAAAATAAGACTTGAGTAAATAAGAAGACAACACAAGTACAAGTAGGTTCCAAGAAACCCGATTTGTACCAAAGTAAGTGCTACCTGGTACCACTGGTACTTTGGTTGAGGGATATGGACTTAGGTCTACTTTTTTCCTGGAAGGTGTATCCCAGCTGTGAGGGGAAGATCATGAAAACTCATTAACTCGGGGGCTAGTGCTGCTGGTTCACAGATCAGAAGAAACTAGGGAAGCATTTCTAGTGATTATTATTTTATTATCTTGATCTGGAAAATTCAGACACAGGAGCAAGCCACTGTTCTTTCTTCTACCAATGAAAATAGAAATAGAAGATAAGAAAGGATGGCATGAAGAGTAATATGGTAGAGGGATAATGATGTCAAGGAACCAAATTTGACATTTTGGACCATGTCCTAAGATCTAGAACTCTTAAAGAGTAGCTTTTAAAGGCAGAGAAACATGAGTTAACCTGACAGTAACTATGCCTTTAAATGAACCGTGATGTGGAGGAAGAAAACTGTCTAAATCAAACTATGAAAATGTTCACTTGGTTCCTTCAGAAATGATAAACAACAAGAGAGAAATTCTTAGTAATTCGCAGAGAAGAATATTTGTAAAGGGGGTGTTATTTGCCTCATATAACAATCTGAAAATCTAGGTTAGTAAGATAAACCAGATATGATAGATCAGTCAATGTTACTACAGTGATAACCCCTAACCAGGGAGAATCAAACTTAATATACTACATATAATCAATCTTTACAAGTGTTGTTAGCAGAAATAATATCATTCTGGAAACTCCATAACTCAAAGGAATGGGGTTTAAAAGCATTTGAATAAAGCTAACAGAAACCAAACATAATTATTTTAGTCTGGAAATCTATTATAACACGTTTTTCAAATGGTTGGTGATTTTTCACTTAAGTCACAAATATAGCAAAGAGTAAAATTGAGTAGTAATGGGAGATTTCAAGTTTTCTGGTTATCTTTTAGAAAATTCATTCTACTCTTATCAGAGGGTTTGATAATTCTTGTTCTTATTATTGCCTATAATGAAAGAACAGGATTTGCAAACGTGTACTAAGTTCGTCAGGTTATGGGCAGGGGGTGAAATAACAGGGGTGAGGGAGACAAAATTGAATCAACATTTGTTCCTCATATTCAATTTTTTAAGTACTATGCAGGAAAGATAAAACATGGATATGAGCCAAGGCTACCTGAAAGTCACGATTGAATTTGGGCAGAGTGTTCTGACAAAGGAAGTATCCCTTCTAGCAGACTTGATGATCTTGTTTTAGTTTCTCTGTTTCTCTTTCTCTTTCTTTTATTTTTATTCCCTTTCTTTCTATATCACAAGTCCCAAAATGAAAAGATGTAAAAGCAGATTTGATAATCTCATTGAGGGGCATGGATAAAATTGGTCCAGTAAGTACTTCTGCTGACTTCCTAGAGCATAGATCCAGGATATAATAGTATCCTGTTAACAGCACAGTGACACAGAATATTTTATTTCCTTATTTATTCATCTAGATGCAACGCTCTCTGATATTTCTATTAATGTTTAAACATGCCCATGTCTAATCTATATCTTAAAAGTCATCACTTGATCCTTCCATCTTCCTAGATATTGACTAATCATTCTTCTACCCTTAATATCTAAACTAAAGTTAGATATTCCACATCTGTCAGTCATTTTACAACCTACCACAACCTGGCTTTCACACAAACTACTGTTAAAATTCTAGAAACAAGTTTAATCTTAGCCAATATGAAAGAATTGATTAGGACAATGAAGACTAGATATTATCAAAGCAATTCAAGAAGGTAGTAATACACTCATACTTATATTGATGATGATGTGAAGTAAGAAGTATATCTGAAATAGGAGAGCACTTTCTAAAAATATATTTTTAAAGATTTTAGTCAAAAGTTATATCTATAACAAATGATAGATGTAAGTGAATGGCATAGACATGAGAACAATGTCAAGAAGACCACCAACTAAAATAAAGTGATAACTGGAAAAACTGACCAAACCAAACGGGTAACTATAAAATCTTTATTTTTTTAGTAACTTTAAAATTTAAAGAAAATTAATAAAATGAAGGTCTATCTAATATGAGCAGAATATGCGAATAACTAGAACTTCTCAAAAACTCTCAGTTTTGCCTCTATCTGCTTACTTGAAGACAAAGCTTTCACGTAGAAAAGAGGCATTAACCAGAGATTACTAAAGCCCATGAGAGTTGCACTTTTGAGGGGAAACAAACATAGATAATTTTAAATCATTTATTTATTTCTACTTTCAATGAATAAACATAGATTGAGCCACTATTAAGTGCAGAGTACTGACTATGGGCTTTGAAAAAGACTAAAGCATGGCTACTGGCATCAATTGGAACTTTTAATTTAGTAAAATAAATATGTATATATATAAAATATACATATCTCTTATTTAAAACAATACAAAACAAAAACTTCAGTATGTTTCTGGCCAAGAAAAATTTACTTATGTCGTCTGTCCTCTTAGAACAACTAGGAACAGGAGTTCTGAACCTCACGATCCATGATTAGGCATCAGTAATTAGAATCCTGAC